GGCTGTGGCACTGCTGGGAGCAGCACTGAGGACTGGCTTCGGCATGGGACGGTGGTTGAGGTCAGGGGCTCTCAGCCATGCACTTTGAGAGCCCCACTAGCATCTGCTTTTCTTTTTAATTGCTATTTTTTGTTTACAGCGTGGAATGCTTCCTCCATGACTTCTAATGTATTATAATTATTACTTTAAGAACATCATTTTCATGTCTGTGTTTTTTTTCGTTTTTGTGTTTTACTTTGTAATGGAAGTTGGGGGAGGGGGAATCATTCCTTTTTATACTGATGCAAATGGACTCCAGAGTATGTGATGCTGTGTTTGACATGGTTGTTAATGATAACAGGTAAAGAAGTTTAGCATAAAATCAGACTCCATGAGGTTTCTTACGGCAACAGATGCTGCAGCGACCCTGGTTGCCTTCTCCTGCTGGCTTTCAGCTTGACTCATTAGATGTGCTTCCGCTGTGACGGGTCCAACTCACCCCATCTCTGCCTTCCTCCTTGCTTTTCTACTGCAGTTGAACGCAAGCAGCCCCAGCAGCGGTGGAAAGGAGACTGCTCCTTTCTACATACTTCTGTACTCTCCTGGCTCACTGCGCCAAGGGCAGCATCTTGCCCCCAGCTCCTGGGCACCCCTTCTGCCACACGGCCGGTGCCCACCAGCCCCACTGTGGCCTTCTTTTTTGGTGAGATTTCAGGTTTTGAGTTTGTTTTCCTGCCCGGGGGCAGTGCTGGGAAGACTGGAGGGGAGGGGGAGCTGGTGGACACAGCTCCTCACACAGCGGGTGGGCAGCTGGGTGGGACGCACCATGCCTCTGTGCAAGTCAGGACTGAGTCATGCTTATGCCAGGCACCGGGAGCATGAGGCGGAGCTGCTCACAGCTGAAAATGGATTTTTAAAAGCTGTGAGCAGCACCTCTGACACACCAGATCTCACAGCTTGTGTTTCCTGCACTTAGATGACCACAGGACTGTTGGCTTCATGGTGTCATATTTGGGCAGTATTCT